GGGAGGGAGAGAGAGGGAGGGAGGGAGAGAGGGAGGGAGGGAGAGAGAGGAGAGAGGGAGAGGGAGGGAGGGAGGGAGGGAGAGAGAAATAACCCAATCCAAATAAAAATTCAGCATCACAAGCAATAACACAGAACCAACCGAACAGGCGGTTGTGTGGGATCGATCGGAGAATGTTGGACTTTCTGTCCCGCCGCAGCACCAGAATTGGCTGCCTGGGAGACGTTACACTGTCCAAGGTACTGAATTCCTAAATCAGCTTTGTAAAAAGTAAAAGGCAACTCGCCCGAACTCTTACACAGGAACCGCCCCCCTCCCGGCATCCTTGCTGAAGAGCTTCAATATTTATCGCGGTTCCGGGAGCGTGGGTCCTCTCCCTGCCCGCCACTTCTCCGCGCACATTCACAGAGGCAAGACCCCAGGTCTTTCTGTCTGTCTGTCTCTCTCTCTCTCCTTCCCTCCCTCTTCCCGTCCTCATCTCCCGCCGTCCCCTTACCTGACTCTTTCGAGGAAACTCATTGAGTACGATGCTGATCACTGGAATGCGCAAAGCGGTGGCGACGAAGTCCATCTGTAGGATCTCGCTTCTGCTCTGCGGGAAGGCAAGAATGGCCGAGACCCCTTGTACCACCACAGTGTGGCAGATGCTCTGCAAGAAGGAGACCGGGTCGTTGCTCCAGGAGGAGGCGCTGGGCGAAGAAAAGGGGAAAAGAGGTAGATCGCCCAGGCCCGCCTCGATGGCCATCACCACTTCCAGGGAAAGGTTGTAAGGCAGAAGCCCCTTGACGCGGTTGAGGTTCTCCACCGCCAACAGGAGCGCCTCTCTGGGTATTGGAGGCGGTTGAGGCGCCTGGTCCGGACTCTCTTTGTCGATCAGGTTCTCGGTGCCCAGGTGCGCTCTCCTTCTCACACTGGTCCCCGTTTTCCACCTCTCTGGAGTCCCGGGCTCCTGCCACCCAGATTCTTCCCCGGCAGAGTGGCTTCGAAGCGGGATATCATTGTGAGCTCTCCAGCCTCCTGCCCTGCCTTGGGAGGTAGCCCAAGGCTGCAGGTGAGCCGCCCCGATCCTTACCGTGTGCCCGATCCGTTTGAGGATCCGGCAAGGCTGCGGGTGGCAAGAAGAGAGGGGCACCCCGGCCAACACGAGGGCGCAGGGCGGCGGGAATAGCAGACAGACTCTGCTCAGGAGCCACCAAACACTCAGCCTCCACATCACTGGAGAGCCAAATGCCCGGCACGTTAGGAGAAACCCCCCTTCTCCCTCTCTGCCTTCCCACTTCAGCCACCTCCTCCCCCTCCACCGCTGCTAGGCGCTCCTCTCCCAGCCGCTCTCCCACCGCCAGCCATACAAGTTGCGGGGCTCTTCAGGCGCCTCGGAGGCTCCCCAAACCTACACAACCCATTTCGTCTCCCGGGAATCCCTGCTCCAGAAAGAAAACCCCCACCCCAACCCCCAAGACTTCTCCCGGTGGCCGCCTATCCAGACTGGGCTCTAAGGATTAAGAGTCATTCCAGTCTACCCCTGGAGGGTCGTGGCAACCCTTCGCGGCGATCTGCTGCCTCTCCATGACTCGAACCCACCAGAAGAACCGACCCGGAGATCCAGATTTGCAAACGCCTCTGAGGACAGCAAGAGGCAGGGTCCCACCCTCCAGGGATGCCCCATCTCCCTTGGGCCACTTCCCCCTTCTTCTCGCCGCTTCTCCCCCACCCCACCCCACCCCACCCCCACCCCTTCCTTCGCCTCTTTTCCAGTCCTCTGCCTTCCCTTTGCAGTTTGTTTCGAAAGCTCTTGTCAAAGGGAACTCAAAGTTGCCAAGCAGGAGCGTAAGCAAGTAGCAGCAACGGTTCTTCTACGTCCGACGGAGCTCCGGTCGGTCGCTTGGCTAGCTAAACACCCACTGCCTGCCTGCCTGCCAAGGCGGCTTTGGAAAGGCGAACAGGTAGCGCTCTGAGCGGGACAAACGCCCCCGCGAGGAACGCTGGGAGTTGTAGTCAGTTGTAGCCGGACTGTCGGAAGCCTCACCCAGCGCTGGGGCTTTCTCCCGAACGCTTTGCTGTAAATCGCATTTAGTCTGCTGGTGGAGCCATGTTTGAGGAGTCTTTTTCTCTTCTTTCCCCATTGGGAACTGTTCAGTATCTGAAGGGGAAAAGGACGCAGTTAAGAAATTCTACTCTCAAATCCCCACCCTCCTTTATTTATTTTTTTTATTTTTTTTAGGATAGAGCAAAAATACATCTCCAAACATTTTATTTATTGCTCCCAACATATATCCTCCAGCAAGGGATGTCCCTTTCCCCCTGAGTCATTTTCTTTTCACAGCTGCAGGGTGAGAAAGAGACATTCAAGAAGATCGGTCAAAGTGATCCCCTGTCCTTTTGCTTTTTTTGGAGGGGACACTAACCAAGGCACGGGGAAGGGAAGAATGGCCGGTGGCACAAGTGGGGAGGGTCAATTCCAACAACTGGGAGAAGAACATCTATGAAGCACTTGTGGTCCATCAGCCAGAGGTGTCTATCTCATTCGGGCTCTCATTCAGGCTCCGTAATGTAGAAAGTTAGCACCCCGCCCCTCTCCTAGAGGAATGAAATATTTTAGGAAATATTAAAAAGGTAGACCATTATATTTTCCTGGATGAGAAAAGGAGAAACATTTTGTAAAGACAAAGCAGCTTCTTGCAGCTCCCTGCACCCCCTTCAACTCTAGGGTGATGGGATTAAGGCATGATAGGATTAGCCCTTTACCAATCCCACCACATGACACCTGGGAAGATTACATCACCCAGCAAGATTCAACCAAGCTTGGGACTAAAGACAGCCTACAGAGTTACCCCTGCACACATTTCTTGCCACAGGAAGAGGAAGCAAGGTCAAAGCCCAACAGAGGGCTTTTTCGTTGTTGCCGCCATCATTAAACCATCTTTCCAAGCAGTCTCCATGTTTCCAGTGTCTTTCTTCCCACTTGGAACTGAACTCAGATGGACATTTCTTCCAACAATAAATTGCAGAGTTGTAAGAACCTTCACCGTATTTGACATTCTCCCACCCAATGGTAGTAACCAGTATTTTCTGTAGAGAAAACTGGGATGCTGAAGATAGGGCACTGCCCATACTGTCCATCTGAGGCTTTGTAAGTCTGATTGAGCTATCCCTCTGAAGCAATGGAATTCACAGAAACTAGTCAAACCAAAGGAAAACCTTCATTGACGTGAAACTGATGGGTTATTATGGCATCACGGACATGAATCCATACGTCCAATTTGTTATTCCTTTCTTGTTGGAACACTTAGCAAAAGTATCCTGTGCTGCAGGAAGATGTTCATGCTCAGCTCCTTTAAGTTAAAAACAGCAAGAACAAACAGAAAGAACCTGAATAAATAGGCAAAAGTATTTCACGGAGATAATGTTTGCTAGGAAAATTTGGGAGTGAATCATGCATCCGTAGCAAAGAGCTTGGAAAACAAAGCAAAATTGTTCCCTGTTCCATAAACTGATTGTTTGCATAGAAAGGAAAAATCATGTCAAGCTCAAATTTGTTTATGTTCTCTACTTTTTAAATGCTTCTATATGTTGAGAGTTGAAGAGAAAGTCCATAAAATGAAGAAATTAAAGTTTTGGAAAAGGACTAAGGAAACTCATGTTGACATTCCAACTAAGCTCTGCAGTTCACTGATTATCTTGCCACCACTCCTCTTAGCCTATCCTACTGGCATAGTTTTTTCATGAGGAAAAAAAAAAGGGAGTATAGCCAACTACTGTAACTGCTGGAGTTAAGGTCGATATAAATAGATCTAAAACATGGAACTATATCCTTTTAGCTCCAGATACCTTGAATAACTATTTTCTTAATTGGCAATAATCTAATTTTTTTTACAAATGTGTGTCCATGTGTTTTTACTGGATTTAAGCATTGGCTATCGCAGACCTGAAATTTGAAGTCGTAGGTGCATTTAATCATGAGCCAGGATGGCGCAGTGGTTAGAGTGCAGTACTACAGGCAACTTCTACTGACTGCCATCTGACTGCAATTTGGCCATTCAAATCTCACCAGGCTCAAGGTTGACTCAGCTTTCCATCCTTCCAAGGTGAGTAAAATGAGGATCCAGATTGTTGGGAGCAATATGCTGCCTTTGTAAACTGCTTAGAGAGGGCTGTAAAGCACTGTCAAGTGGTATGTAATTCTAAGTGCTACTGCCATTTTGTTCAATTATAGGCACAGATCTGGTCTTCCTGCCTGTGGTATCAGCTTTTGAACCATTTCTTCCCTCTTCATCATTTTTATATAATAATAGCAGGGGATAATGTTTCATCTGTTGGTTTTCTTTTACTTCAGCTGTAATAAAAGGAGACAAACAGACTACTATCATCTTAGTGTCTTTTTGCCATATTAGATGGACTTCTGCTGTCTTGCTGATTGGTGGACACTTGTCCTTTCCTTTACAAATGCTAATAAAGTTTATTTGTTTTAAAACATGTTTTAAAACAGCTATGTGCTGCAGGGTAATATAAACCCCATAGGTGCAGAAGGAATTGAAAAGAAACCAAGCAATGAGCATATGTTTTCATGCTTCTATAGATAGATGGATCTGATTTATAATACTTTAGCCATTTAGCCATAGTCACATATTAGATTAACATATGCCTTTTCTAAGATGGGGCCACTTTGGAATTCCAGCAGCTCTTCACTCATAATTGAAGCATCTATTAAAAACACTTCTGCAGAGAGCTAGGGAGATAACAGACAGTGTATCATGGAGAAATACCCACTAGGATTAAAACATGCATAATTTAGCATACAGGATATACTTTAAAAAAAATTATGCAAATAAACCTATTCCATCAGCTTCGAGAACAGCAGAAGAGAAAGAGGGCTTTTTCATTACTTGTCCTGGAAGATCCGCAGCTGTTAATTCTAAGATTCAGCTGTTTGTAATCTTATTTTAGCTGCCATCTAGTGGTGGTCATTTCCAGCAAGTTGCAGAACATATAAGGACAATGGAGACAGGTAAAACTATTCCATGTTAATTATCCCTTGCTGTCTTATTACCCATCTTGCTGTCCGATCTTTTCTTGTTCCAGTTGGCTCCAAGGCTTCCCCTCTCTGTATCTTATCCAGCCCCCCCCTTCCTTGTGTGCTGTGCTTTTTTTTAAACTTACAAGAGGAAAAAAAATTAGAGACTTTGAAATTATTTATTGATAGTTAGCACCTGAACCACACATCCAATAGGCACCTCAGTTATCTGTTTGCAGTCTTCCTTATTATCCTGGAATCAGGAAGAAAGGTGAATGAATTTTCTCTGGTGATACTAGTCCTTAAGGGGAGAAATTGCAAATAGTTGTAAAATTATGCAATAAATTTATTTATCTTAATTGTTCTAATATTTATAATCCACTCGGTAAAAAGCTACAAGAATGACTTACAGTACAATTAAACCATATTGATGTTGTCATGCTGGTTTCGATTCTTAGCAACCCCGTAGATTTCCCCCAACACCACCATATCTGTCTCTAACCTGGTCTTTTAGATTTTCCAATCACTGCTGTAATATAGTCTGTTCACTTTGTTGCTGGTTGTCCTCTACCGCTCTTTCCTTCCACTTTTCCTACCATTAAAATCTTCTCCAGAGAGCTGGCTTTTCACATAATGTGTCTGAAGTAGGGTAATTTTGAGCTTGGTCATTTGTGCCTCTGGTGAAAATTTTGGGATGATCTATTTGTTCATTTTCTTAGCTCTCCGTGATATTCTTAATAGTCTTCTCTCACACCAGGGTTCAAAAGCATCAACAGTTTGGCTATTCCTTCTTTTTCACCGTCCATTTCTCTTTCTCTTCCACTGAGTGCTGCAGGGAATGCCACTGCTGGCATGATTATGATCTCATTAAACATTATCAATATGATTAAAAAAAAACCAATAGGTTTATGCCCAGCATCGGGACAAGAGCTGGTAGCTGGGAAATAACTGCAGAAGAATTGGTATTGCCTTCACATCCCAGTTACCGCTTCTCAAGGATGGTTAGATGGAGCTTAAACAAGATTCTTCTTTAGATACTAACATCTGAACCAGTGGTGGGATTCAAATTTTTTAACTACTGGTTCTGTGGACGTGGCTTGGTGGGCTGGAAGGGGAAGGTTACTGCAAAATCTCCATTCCCACCCCACACCAGGGGAAGGATACTGCAAAATCTCCCTTCCCTTCCCACTCCACTAACCTAC